GATATGACTCATCTTTATTAGAGCACTTCCACCTATTTGCCATAGTAAAAGGCAAGGGCAGTTACTGTCTATATGAGGAGAGGAATTTGCACGGAGTTTTGGCATGGGAAGTGAAGAATATGGCTAGGTATTTATAGAAAAAAAATTATGAAAATTCTGGTTTATTTTATTTTATTATTATTTTTATTTTTATATTTATTTAAATTGGTTGCTTATATCACAGTAATGTTAACTTGCCCAGGCAACAACTCAAATAGGTGGAGCCTAGTACTTGCCCTGACAAGCCTTGACAGCTGGAAACAGGATTGGGGGCTTATGAGGCCTCGCTAGCCCCCTTTTGCTGAAAATGCTTTTAGAGATGTTCAACAGTGTGGTACAAATAACATTATTGTTACATCAATGTTGTACTATAAGGAATGGCGAATGAAATTTTAAACCTTTTTCAATATTAAAAAGAGAAATATTACCGATCAATAATTAATTGGTATCTAATACTCTAGTTAGTTCTCGTAACTTTTTAAGATTAAAATAATTTTTTTTACCATATAGTACTTTTTCAACTCTCTCAGAATGGAATATATTGTTAACAAATTCAAATATAGGATCACCACTTTGTTGAAGTTTGACTAAATTCAAGCCCAATTTGTATGGGTTTGAGAAAGCTCATGTAGTCCACTTGTTTGAAGCGACTAACAGATCTAATAAAATCATTGCACGATGATCCTCATGCATAAAACATTTTGGATCCTTAGCCCCTCAAGAAAGAAAATTTCATCTTCACCCTTGATATCATATATAATAAATAGACGAATATATCCATTGTCATTTAATCCCGGGGTGGCCTTATACATGAAAGTAGGTAGACAAAAGGACTAGTCATCATCACAAGGAATCGAACAACGTTTTTATGCTGAAATTTTTGCACTTAGAGAAAACAAGTTAAATGTACGTGACAATGTTTTGTGACTTTGTCTTATTCATTTATTTATTTATAGGAACTGATTTAATCCTTCAGTACTTCGACATATTGAAAAAACGAAAATCATAAATTCGGGAAGTTAGAAATAAAGAAGAGATGAATGTGAATGAGATCAACTATTCCCTAATCAATGTAATTTATAGTTTTTAAGATTTTAGATTACGAATTGTAATGTGAAATCCAACGTAAATTTTGATTTCTTATGTAGTAGTAATTGTAGGAAAAATCATGATGAGTAAACATGCGGACCATTTGTCCCAAATGACTATAAAAATTCATTTGAAAAGGTAAACTATGAAAATTCATGGTCATAAACCGTTTGATTGAAATTCAATGCTTGATATTAATTTTAAAAAGTAAAATACTTCATTGAGATTCCAACAAAACTTAAAAGCCAACAATTGTTCATAGTGATTTTTCATAATAGTTTGATGTGTGTTTGACGTGATATGTGGTTTTGAGTGGAGGTATAAGTTTGATGTTGCCAATTGATCTCTTCATATTGGTTGTAACCCCTTTGAAGTTGTAGTTGCCCTTATGTATATTGTATTGGTATTGCCCTCGTGGCATAATTTATCAATGCAATCTCCCTACTGTTAGAATTTTTTATAGCAAATTTGTCTTACCCCCTTCAAATTCAATTTGACTTACCTACAACCCTTTACTTTTTAGCTTCTATAAATAATACCCTGTTTTTATCAACCAAAACCTATTACTAGGATCCAACTCATCAAATTACCTTATTAAGCTAAATATATGATTTATTATGATGTTTAAGTTCCCAAAATACCCCTATTTACAATTCAGCGTGTAAGAGACTGGTGTTTGAATTTTTGGTTCCCCAATTTATTGTAGTGATCCTCTCCAGAATTTGTGTATACAATTAATTATCCGTTTTGATTATGTGGTTGATTTGCTTAGTCAAACGTTTTGATTATGGTTTTAGTTTGGAGATTGGTGTTTTGATTAGGGTTCCTAAACGTGGGTTTTTGGTTGAGGGGTTCCTTTTGTTGCAGTTCAAGAAATTCCAGGTATTGAAATTCCATTTGAAAATTCCGGAGCAATCGACACCGACTAGCAAGCGTGAGTGGTTTGCTGTCAAATAGCAGGTAAAAAACGTCTCTCTCTTGCACGTAAGCCCTATTGATTGTTAGTCCTAACCAGAGCAAAACTGGGTATCTGGGGAAATTCTGTTGTTGATTTTTGGTTTTTTAAAACCTAGTTATGTACCTACAGCCTACATGTTATTTAGTTACTTTTGAAGTGGAATCGAAAAAGGGATTAAAGAACAGTGTAATAAACACAACTGCCATAAGTATACAAGAGTATCTCAAAAAATGATACATAAACAAAACCACTTGGTACTTTCATCGAACACGTAGTGTGCGCCAAAACCTAACAAACTAAGAATGTGATCAGTATGGCACAAATCACAAAACAATTTCACAAAAGGAGCAAAACTACATAACCAAATTCCCAATAGTACAAACCCACGTTTAGGAATGAGTGTGATCAGTAAAAACTTCGTGTAGGTACACTAAATAACTTGAAGGCATATAACCTATTTTACACTGTTCTTTAATCTCTTTTTGGATTCCGCTTCAAAAGTAACTAAATAACATGTGTAGGCTGTAGGTACATAACCAGGTTTTAAAAAACCAAAAATCAACACCAGAATTTCGTGTAGGTAAACTAATACTCAAATACCCAGTTTTGCCTGGTTAGGACTAACAATCGATGGGGCTCCATATACGTGCAAGAGAGAGACATTTTTTACTTGCTGTTTGACGGCAGACCACTCACGCTTGCTAGTCGATGTCGAATGCTCTGGAATCAAATGCTTAGATCGGTCTCGTCTTCTCTTTATGAATGGTCTGATGAATGGAATGTACTTGCGAACCTAGATTTTGAATGACATTAGAGGGTTTAGGGGAATCTAATATTGGAGAATCTATGGTTTCAATGAAGGGAATCGATCAAGGCTGAAATGGTGGTAAACTGAAAATTTTTCTGATTGAAACGGTATAGTTCTTAGTTTTTGTACGATCAGATGGTTTAGATGTGTTATATACCTACAATGGCAACTAATGTAAAATAAATACAATATTATGACCTCTTTCATCTTATAAGGCATTACAATTTGAATTTGGGTTTTCAACATAGTTATATAGATAGATGGGTTTGTGTCTAGGGGATATCAGTTGTATGGGCTTATATTGGAGTCTCTCAATTTTTTATTTTAACATAGTGACCAAAACTATGTAGATTATAAGTTAATTATGCATGTTATGAAGACAGGGGGCTTCAAGAAAAGCCATAATCATAATCATAATCATAAAATTTAAAAAATTGAGAACAATTTTATGGGTTACGATGGTTGCTTTGTCAATTAATTAATTTAGAAATGTAAAATCCTAACCCAAAAACATGCCGTTCACTTGAAGGTGTTTCATGTCCCAAGTTGATTGAGAGGTTGTTGTCTACCATCGTCTTCTTCGAGCACTGGCTAATATAGATTTATAGATCCTCTTTGTCTGCAATTCCTAGTGAGCTGAGGTTCAAGTTCTGTAATTTACTCACTGTTTTGTAATCCTTGTGCTTGATTGCTTATGTTTTCTGATTTTCTATATTGTAAGAACCTCCTTTAAAAGATATGTTCTTCTTGTGTATATGTAATTCTCCTGTTGTTTAATAGCATTATGCTATTTCAAAAACAAAAAAACAAAAAAAAAAAAAAAACAAAATCATAATCCAAAATTTTTGGTCATATTTTATTGAAGTAGTTTGAATTCTCTATGGAGGGTGGGTGGCATGGAATGGGACACCCAAGTTCATGAGTGCTTTTACTCTCTATCCGGCCTAAAGAGGCAAAAGGTAGCATGCAACGTGCGCACCAAATTACTCGTGCCCCACCACGTGTCACTATAGGAGAGATAAGAAGATGATTTGTAAAATCAGTTAGCAACTAGATAAAACACTTGTGATTTTAATTTTTTTGGCAAGATAAAACACTTACGATTGAGTTCTTATCTCAAGCTCAAGAAACTTTTGGTTCCTTTATCTTGGAAGAAACCTAAGGTCATGGAACAAGAGGAATGCGATAAACTTGTTGGTATTACCTTGCGATGGTGAGGTTGATAGTATAACTTTGTGATGAGCTTGTGGAGGGTAAATTCGATGAGCACATCGAGGCCTTAGTGTTGTTAAGCGCCATGCATGATGTGTGAGATGTTATTGTTAATTTGATCCTGAATTCTCTGGGGAAGAAGTTAGTTTTTAGTGAGGTTTGTGATGTCCTTTGGGGAAAAACATTCTAGTTCCACACGCATCAGTTCAGTGATATGTCATCTAATAGAAATTGAAATTACTGAAATAGATTAAAATATATTTTTGATGCTTTATGCCCTCAAAACATCCATCTATAACAAGCAGCCACCTAGCATATGGCGCCGTTATGCTAATAGTAGAAAATACTCTACCCTAGAAAAATCTGTCCCTCTGTTTGGATGAAGAAATTGTAAATTACATAGAATTCTAAAATGATGGAATTTAAATTTTCATTATTTCAATTTCTGGCAATTGAAGATTTCAGTGTTTGAATTTATGTATGTCGAATTTTGTAAATGGCACCATGGAAATTGTGAAAATGACTCATATTTTGGTGGAAATTAAACTTGGGAATTTGATGCCTCAATTTCCACGATTTTTTCTACATGTCATTTAATAAATTCCGTGCTTAAGTTTCCAAACAACGGAATTGTCAATTTCTTCTCTTAAATTCCCGACTTTTAGTTAAATTCCTAGTTATTTTCCCTCATCCAAACGGAGAGCATTGAATCTCAGGTTTTCCCTCCCCTTGTATGCCGAAAAAGATAAAAACAAAGAAACAAACGCAGCATGAAAGTCATCCAAATCCAAAACCACTTTTCTTGCTGGGTCAGGCCCAAATTTCAAGCCCACGTTACTTACAAACCTTCTCCTTCATTGCATAACAAACACATACACACACACCCAAAAAAAAAAAAAAAAAAAAACGAAACCCTTCTCTTTCTTTCCCTGCTGAGGTTTTAGGTCCATATTCCATAGCTTCCTTTCGCTCACTTTCTCGCTAACCAAACAGAGATGGGGAAGAACAAAAGCAAAGATGGTGGCAAAACGAGAAGCGAAAGCGAGCACTCTGCCTCCACTGTCTTCGTCTCCAACTTGCCCTACTCTTTCACCAACGCTGAGGTACTCTCTCTTTCTCACACCCTAGTTTTGCTCCTGTCTTTCGTTTCTTTACTGAAGTAGAATCACTCAGATTAGTTGAATAGTTGCATTACAATCTGTTTATATGATTGCTGTTCTTTTGTTCTTTAAGTTGAAATTTTCTGTGCTGCTTTAGTAATGAAGGCTTTGTTTCATTGTTTGTTTTTCTTTTAAACCTCAGCTGGAGGAGACATTCAGTGACGTCGGACCAATTAGGCGGTGCTTTCTGGTTACCCAGAAGGGTAAGCCAAATTTTTGCAAAAATGGAGCTTTACGATTAGATTTTAGTTCAAATTTTTACGGTTTCAGAGATTATTATTATTATTATTATTATTTCTAAATTTATAATAATTTTGTTTGTTCTCTGTTTTTCTTCTGTGGTTGATAAATCTAGTATAACTCGAAAATGTGACAATCATACTGGCTTGAGCAGTTTTGGTACTTTGTTATGTTTCTTCTTTTAAAATTTCATTTTTGTAAAGAAACCAAATTGAATAAAAGCAGTTCCAGTATTTTTGGATAAGTTTTTCTGCATCCATAATGAGATTGGTTAGGGACTGGCACTTATCTGCCTGCCATTGTATCAAATTCGAAGCCGCATCAGCTGCACAATGGCCCCAAGATAAGCTCAGACCAATGAATAAGGCCCAGAGGGGTGAACTTTGATTACTTGCCCAACCCCCCAAGTAGTAGCAAGCCCCAGAATCCAATCACCACAACAGTGCCTTCAGCAAGCAGTCCTCCCATTGCTAAAATGAGGTTCTAGAACTGCCACAATCTCCATCCTTTAGAACTTTATCAAGTTTTTCATAGGAACATATTAGAAGGAAATAACCCAAAAATAGCAAAGGAGATCCTCCACTTGACACTTACTAGAATTACCTTGAACCAATTTATTGTACTCCCCTAATCCCTCAGATTTTTCCCTTGATCCTGTGGTAGCATACTAGGATTTGCAAACTTAACCCCAATTAGAACCGTTTCTACTTCCTTCCTATATTGAAATATTTTAAAGCTTTCTTATCCATAGATTCCTTCAGGCCACCCTTGGTTTTCAACCCTTGTGTGAAATCTTCAGTAGTCAGGGCACTAGCTTTCTCAAGTCCAAGATGCAAACTATTCTATTCCCCTTCTTCTTGCAGTACCTGTAACCTTGTTCATTCAGCTGTTGGATACTCCTCTGACCTCAAATTGGTTTATGGGTTCGCCTAGGTTCCCTCTGGTTTTGTCTAGCGTCAATATAAGGTCCCCCTCGAGCCTTGCTTTCCTTTGCTGCTTCTTTTAGCACTCCCTCACCCTTTCCGGTATAGCTTGGAGTCAACCTAGTTTTACTTTCTTCTTTCCATCACATCCCTTCCGTACAACCATTACTCCTTTGTCTCTGCTTGCCACAGATAAAGCAATTTGATGGAGTCCCTCCTATTCCACTTATCCAAAAATCATCAAAACAGATGTGAGGAGTCAATGACTTAGAAACATCCAATTCAACATTGAGGCGCGAACCCTGGCTTGAGGTGCGATTTCAATGTTAACTTTATTGATAAGTCCTAGCCGTAGCACATTACCTACTTTAAGAAACCCTTTATAATCAAATGCTTTTCACGAATACCTGAGTCTTACCCAATGGGTTGCATTCCTCCAAATCAACTTGACTCCATGCCTTCACTTATGGATGACCAGTTAGTGGCCAACAGTAATATAAAATACCTCCATGACCACAAAGAACATGTCCTCCCTCAAATTAAACTGAACAACATAGTAAAAGTTATCTAGATGTTGGCAATCTCCCTTCGTACATAATTTTGGATCAGGTAAAGTAAGATGGTTTCGGGTTTGGGGGTACAAGCATAAGCAAAAAGAACATGAAACAAGGGAAGGAAGCGATGGGAAGTTATTAGTAAAGTGTGTCTGTCTTATAAACTGTTTACTAGGAGGAAATATGGAAGTGATCAAGCACATTGAGAAGCTTGATTAATAACTTGTTTCATATGATGTTCCATGTGTCATATGCTTTTCATTTCCTTTTCTTTGCTATCTGTAGATGTGGGTTTGTGGGTTTAACATGCTTAGGTCAGAATGTTTCTAATCTGTCTCATTGCATTGTTTACAGGGTCAACTGAGCACCGTGGCTTTGGTTATGTTCAATTGTAAGTCAAGTTCATTGCTTTTCCTATTATGTATTCTTTATTGTTATGTTTTTCAAATTAGGCCACTTCTTTTATTTTGTATTATTAAATCACGATGATTAAAGGTAAGGAATGTTTTAAAATTCCATAATGTGTTTTTGAGGGCTAAAGGGTTTCTTCAGGAGTTTTTAGTTTAGAAGATATTACAGTAGTGTGAGAATATGAAATTGTATTTGAGGTTTTAAACTTTTGAACACTTTTATGTTGTACTTTGCATCTATTTGTAGCGCTGTCACAGAAGATGCTAATCGTGCTATTGAGCTAAAGAATGGTGTATCCATTGGAGGTCGAAAAATTGCAGCCAAACATGCCATGCATCGTGCTCCCCTTGAACAACGAAGATCAAAGACAAATCAAGGTTGGTATTACTTAATTCTCATCATAGGTTGGACATGCATGTTTGTTATAACCTGTGTTTCTAATAAAGATAGAGAAGGAAAAGAGAGAAGAAATTGATAAGACGGATGATAGAGGTGAGGAAGAGGAGTAAAATACGAAGAATAATGTATGAAATAAGAACTGAACACATTTTATAGTTTTAAATTTCTATTTCCTTCAACTTTTCTTCACCACTCACATCTCTTGTCTCCATTCTCTTTTCTTCCATATATTTTCCCTGTTTTTCGTTAACCAGAAAAATGTTATCCAACAGGTTTATAGTTTTAAATTTCTATTTCCTTCAACACATTTTGGTATTACTATTGTTTTATTTTTCTTACCACCTTTTGGTTAGGACTCGACTTGGATGACACCTTGAAGTCAAAAAATGACAAGGATGGTGAAAATTTCAAAGCAGAAAAGGATGCTTCGAGCTTGCAGGAAAGAGGTCGCTAATCTTAACATTTAAATCATGCTATTGTTATTTTCACTCTTTTTTCTTAGCTATTTGGAGTTGTTGCTTTGGATAAAAATACAGAGAAACCTGTGAAGGCCAGAAAAGCCGCTGCACTATGTACTGATACAGTGGCAAAAGTGGGTGGTTCAGAAGATAAAAATACAGAGAAACCTGTGAAGGCCAGAAAAGCCGCTGCACTATGTAATGATGCAGTGGCAAAAGTGGGTGGTTCAGAAAAGCAGAGGTACTGAATCTTCCCTTGCTTCTTATGGACGGTGTAGTTTTCTTTTCCTGCCTTAGAATCAAGTGGTTCAGTCGTATATTTATTAAAGCCTGGTCTTTCAAGTAGAACAAGGTGTTGTTGGTTCGTATTGTAATCCTTGTTGCGATCTTTAGTTTTAAAATATCAATTTCCTGTTAATGCTACATGTTTTTGTAGAAATATTTTTCTTCTTCTTATTTTTTTAATGAACAAGATTTCTTAGTAATAATATTAATAATCAAAATGCAAGGTGCTCGGTGAACTAGAGGTCAACAAACATCTTCATACATTTCTCGTAAAAAGCAAAACTGAACTGCAAATCTTATAAAATAACACAGAATGGATCCCTAATAAAACAGATGATGTGGAGATAAAGTTTTAATTTTGGATTCGACAAAGAATCTGATGTTGGTAGATTTTTAATGTCTTATGAAAAATAAATTATTTCTGGGATTGTAGAGCTCAATTTTGGAAATATAGTTTGTGATTATTCATGCCAATTCAGAAAATACAGTGTCAGCAGCACCTGAATGAAAGACTATCTATGTAAGGTTTCCTAGTTTTAATTTTAGCTTTTGCTAAGTTTGTAAGAATCTGGCTGCATGCATGCACAAAGTTAGTGTTAGATTTATTGTCTTCTGATATTTCTGTATTTGAAAGAGTGATCTACTTTGATTAACTTTGAAACTTGGATCATGTCAAGAAGAGCCCTTTTAGAAATTCTTTTAGCATCAAGTGTTACCTAGTATAGGTAGCTTTATCCTTTCTTAATTCCATCTTCCAATTCAACATTGAATTAGTAGGCAACATGGTTACCAAGGTTTCCCTAAGATTTTTGGTGCTTTGTTAAATTTTTTCCTGTAATACTGGATTTCACTGTATTAAGTTCCCGGCTCCCACCTAAATGTTGGGTTCTCATTTCAACCGGGACAATGATTTTTTTCCCACGCTGCATTCTGTGCTAAATTCTACGAATCTCTGTTTTATATGTAATCTTGATACAGTATGACGAGTGATAACGTCAGTTTCCAGAAATGGTGGTCTGATATATTTAGTCTCTTATTGTTGTGTAGGGTTGCTAGGACAGTCATATTTGGTGGCCTTGTTAATGCTGGTATGGCAGAAGAAGTTCATCGTCGAGCTAGGGAGATTGATGGCGAATGTTCAATAACTTATCCTCTTCCCAAGGAAAAGCTTGAACAACATGGTAAGGGAATTTTTCTTTTGTTTTTGCTTCTACCCCGTCACCCTTACTTTTCTCAGGTTTTTTACTTTTCGCAAGTAAATGAGGTTGGTTGGTTGGTTTAATATGTTGAGTTGAAACTTGAAAATTGTTTTCCTTTGTCAGATTTTTTCCTTGGCTGTTGTCACTTGAAATCACTGTTATGGAGAGTAATATTAGCCATTCCTAGAAATTTTATTCAGTTTCAGATGGTGAATCAATCATATCTGTTGTGCCTTTTCAGGTCTGATGCAAGATGGATGCAAGATGGATGCTTCATCTGTACTTTATAACAGTGTTAAATCAGCACATGCTTCTGTTGCAACGTTACACCAAAAAGAGATTAAAGGCGGAATTGTTTGGGCACGCCAGCTGGGTGGGGAGGTAAGTCATATGTGTACAGCTTACTACAATTCGGAAGTTGTTGAATTGCTCTAGCTCATACATTCCTTATTTGAACCAATTTAAGGAGTTCCATTGTTTCTAAGTAATTTTGGGTTTGGGATTTGTTGTTACCATTTCAAGTTGAGCTCTCTTTGTTCTTGCATATAGTTCAGATAGATAATAAAAAGGATGAGGCACAGATATTATAGGTTTTAGCAGTATCTGTTGGGCAGTACATGGACCAGAAACAAAAAAATGTATGCGGAATACTGATGTTGACATGCAACTTTGCATGCAAGGAAAAAACCAGCATTGAGATTTTGTAAGAGATAAAGTCAGGCATTTTTTAATATATATTTTTTCCCAAATGGGTAAAAATTCCTGGCACCTGCCCACTCATAATTAAAAAGAACCAGCATGGGTATTTTGCATTATCAGTTGTTAGTCATGTTATTGTTGTCATTGATGTTATTTGCGGTGATGGTGTTATTATTTTTGCTTATTGTTGTCATTTATGTTATTGGTGGTGGTGGTGTTATTATATTTGCTCCTAAACAGCTCGGTTGTTTTTCTGGGCCAGGGTGCCAAGACTCGGAAGTGGAAGCTCATTGTTAGAAATATTCCTTTCAAGGTTTTTTTTCCTCATTGTATTGTCATATGACATTCTTTTTCCTTTGGGGAGAGCTTAAATTAAACTAGTTTGCTTACACAAATGCAGGCCAAAGAGAATGAAATAAAAGAGATATTTTCATCAGCAGGGTTTGTCTGGGATGTAATTATACCACACAATTCTGATACAGGGTATATTGTCATTGCCCATTATTGTTTCTCTCTTAATGGAAATATCTTTTCTGTTCTTCATTCTTATTTTAATTTTTTATTCCTCATTTGCAGGTTACCAAAAGGTTTTGCATTTGTCCAATTCACACGCAAACAGGATGCAGAAAATGTACATTTGTGATTTGTGCTTTACGTTTGGAGTACATAATGAAGCCCTGGGTTCATTAACATATTTCTTTTTCTTTCTCAGGCAATAAAAAAGTTAAATGGACAAATGCTTCATAAAAGACCCATAGCTGTTGACTGGGCTCTTTCAAAGCAGATATATGGTAGTGTGACTGTAAAAAACGCTCTTCTTGCTTCAGACGATGGTACTTGTGGCATTACTGTAACTCTATTCTCATTTAGCAAACTTTTTTTTTTACTGTAATGCCGTTATTGATGAATACATACTTTAGTTTGGTACTTGTATGATTGTATGTACATCTAATGATACAAAAGCACCAATTTTTACAGGACAAAAGGATGGAAGTGATGGAGAAAATGATAGTAGCAGTGAAGATTTAGAGGGCGATGCTGGGCATTTCGGTAAAAAGTCTGAGCACCATGATGGAATCGACAGCGATCCTGATAACCCGAATACCATAGAGAAGAAAGACATCCCTACTGAAATAAATTTTGAAGAGGAAGTGGACATTGCAAGAAAAGTTCTAAAGAACTTGATCGCACCGTCTGCTATAGAAACTCCTCATGATGATCTCGCACTGCCCCAAGGGGACAAGGAGCCGTCTATTTTTGAATCTTCTAAGGAGCCCAGTAAATCATCTTTTGAGACTGCAAAAGCCTCAGATGTTACTAAGCCTGAAAAGTTAAGCAAAAGCATGGCACCAAATCTTGAACAGACAGACGAAGAAGATGATTTGCACAGAACAATTTTCATAAGCAATCTTCCGTTTGATATCAATAATGAAGATGTCAAACAAAGGTTTTCTACCTTTGGGGAACTTCAATCTTTTTTCCCAGTCCTTCATCCAGTCACCAAGTATGCTTTAAACTTTTGGTTTGATATGATTCCTACATCTTTATTGTTTTAGAAATTACATGTGCTATTATCTTGTGGCAGGCGACCAAAAGGAACTGGCTTTCTCAAGTTTAAAACAAAAGATGCAGCCAGTTCTGCAGTTTCAGCGGGGAATGCTGCATCTGGCCCAGGGATTTCTCTTAAGGGTAGACAATTGACAGTCTTGCAGGCTTTGGATAAAAAATCGGCTCATGATAAGGAATCAAATATGGCCAAAAAAGAGGATCTGGACCGCCGCAATCTCTATCTGGCAAAGGTTATTTCTTTTACAAACCTCCTTCCCCCATCTTTGCTTGCTTATTTCACACTTTGTTCTACGTGTAGTGGCTATTTTAATGGATTATCCTGAATGGTTGGCATTTTCTTTCCTCAAAATATTAACAGGAAGGTCTTATTCTTGAGGGAACTCCAGCTGCAGAAGGGGTTTCGGCTAGCGATATGTTGAAACGCCAAATGTAAGTTTATTGATTTCTTTGTTTCCCTAGATATTGCATATGCATAGCTTCTCCATGGGATACCAGAGCACGATACAATTCGTACATGATTTTATTTGGACAAAATCTCTTTTCAATAAAATCATGTTTTAACTGTTTTTTTAAATAAGTTATAAACTGGTAAAACAAAGATGGAATCCTCTACAAGCTTTAGAAAAATATTTTAAAATTTAACAAGACAAAGCAATATCAGACTTTGTAGTTTTTAACAGATGTCAGCTAAATATTGGTGCTGCTTCGGTATTCAAATGCTGGTTATTTTGCTGCTACTTCATGTTTCACATTCCTTTGCAACATATTTTAGTGAATTTCTGAAACCATGCAGGGAGGAGAGGAGCAAGATGATGAAACTTCAATCTCCAAATTTTCATGTCTCGAAGACAAGAATATTTATAAAAAATTTGCCGAAGTCCATGACTGCAAAAGAACTAAAAAAACTTTGTATTGATGCTGTTACCTCACGAGCTACAAAACAAAAACCTGTGATCCAACAGGTTAGTCAGTCAATAGTTACATTTGTCTCTATTTGAGGGTTTTTTGGGTATATATGTATGGAACTTTCTCTTATTTGTAATTGATATTGTTCATGCAGATAAAGTTCTTGGAGGATGTGAAGAAAGGAAAGCTTGTCGCAAAGAATTTCTCTCGTGGAGCTGCTTTCGTTGAGTTTACAGAGCATCAGCATGCACTTGTGGCCCTGAGAGTTTTGAACAACAATCCTGGTAACTTAATTCCTCAAAAGTGTAATATCCATGTTGACATATGACGCTGATTATTAGTAATCTCTAAACTGCAGTCTCAATGCATTAACTCCATTGTATTAAATTTAATGTGATGCAACTTGCAGAAACTTTTGGTACTGAGCATCGCCCAATTGTGGAGTTTGCACTTGAGAATGTTAAAAAATTGAATATACGAAATGCTAAGATACAAGCACAGCAGCATGCAGCTCATCGTAATCGGGAAAATGTGCATCAAAATGAAGGCGCAAATAGACCAGATACTCATCCAAGCAAGAAGTCCAAAAACTCGAAACAAAAAGGGGAGAAGCGAAAATTGGATGATTCAGTACCAAATAAAGAAGATGAAGTCGAAAATAAGTTTAGTGATGGAGCTGCCACCGAAAGACAGAGAGGTTCTAAGAGGCAGAAAAATGGTCCATTTGGAAAGGAAAAAAAGATCTCATCAAAGGTATCAGAACACTCAACAACAGAGAAGGCGGAAGGCTCAAAACGTGAACCAAACAATCATCAAGATGGCAGGAAGGCTGGTGGTGGAAGATCATCCGAAGGTGAAAACGTGGCCATTGATGCACAAAAATCAAAACCTTTGAGAAAGACAAATGTGCTACCTAATAAGAGGAAGCTACAGGAGCAGAAAGAGGTAGAGGGGGGAGAAAATGTGATGAGGAGACAAAGACCAAAGAAGAATAAGGACCCATTAGGGCGGGATGTTACAGATAAACTCGACATGCTGATTGAACAATATAGATCCAAGTACTCGCAACGGAGCTCCGTCCAAACTGATGGCGAAAAGCAAGGTTCCAGAAAGCTTAGAAAATGGTTCCAAACATAATTTTATGTTGATTTTGTAAAATTTCATGATAAGTCTCACAAGAGAGGAGTAAAAGCAGTTGCTGGATATGCAGTTGCTATAAATTTTGCGCATTGTTTAACTTTTGGCAATATTTGTAAGCATGAATTTACTGTCTGGCATTTTGGTTGAATAACTATTGATTTGTTCCATTCCACCCGGCCTCAAACTTCGGCCTTTATTACTCGTAGAGATTTCTCCTAGTTATGTTTAAATCATGATGATTAAGGATAAAGGAACGTTTTGAAATTCCATAATGTGTTTTTGAGGGCTAAAGGGTTTCTTCAGGAGTTTTTAGTTTACAAGATATTGAAAAAGTTGTCGAAAATGTTTTCTGATTCAATTCAATGGTTTGCATGATTACAAGGTTCTATATCAAGAGAGCTTTTGAGTTGTACAAGACCGACACTATGATAACACTACAAAAAACTAACGTCATCTAAAACACCACTATACTGACACCATCATATTAAATTGGGGCCCTAATACCTACACCACTATGGAATGTTAGATAACGTGGACAGTCAATTATCCTTCAGATATTACACTAGCATGAGATGAAAGTTCATCCTGGATGTGGCGGAGAATAGGAAGATGGATTTGTTGGATTGTGTTTCTGGTATGCCTGATTTCCATCTTCGCTTCTTGAAATCGTAGAGATCGAAGTTCGTCCTGGATGTGGCTGTTATTGCTGTGCTGTAGTGGAGTTTTGGTCTGTGAATAATATACTCGAGTTGAAGGAATCAATGGTTGCTCTTGCTTTCATTGTTTTATGACTTTCTTTCTTGTTTTAGGCATAGCAATATGTTTGATGATATCTCCTCATCTTTCCACATCTTTTTCTTCCTGTAATTTGGATTTTTTTTTTTTGGAACAGAGAGAGATTCTCTTCTTGAATGTTTTGAAGCTCGATATGCATGATTTTGGCCCTACTTGCGATCTGAAACATATTGCTCTTTCGTTATTGGTGCTTCTGCTTGGTAGAATTATGCATGTTGGTGACTCATCGACTGAAGCTGATAGTTTATTTCTACTTTTCATGTTGCATCTACAAATATGCTAGGAAGTGATCTTCGGTCTAGGTCCAGGGTTTAGAGAGCTTAAAGGAGCCTTATATGTCGCAATATGGAGGGTTGGACACGAGGGATTGTAACTATGTGTTAGCATAGGAGACTAGTGTAGGTACTTACTACCATGATTTTCTGACTTTGAACTTCGGAAGAAATTCCTCAAATACATTTGATGCATGCATTTTTAGCTCTGCTGGATTAAGGTTGACAGCTTGGGAGAAACTTGTTGCACAAAACAAGGTTTAAAGTAGCGTTTAGGTCCACATTACACCTTTTTATTGGCCATAAAACTAGAATTTCGCTTGCAGAGTTCCTGCATTTCGCAGGAATGTTTGCTAGAAAGTGTCAGCCAAAAGGCTTAAAACAAACAAGAGTTTATGTTCCCCAAGAAACTCTAATGTGAGTTTTCCAGTACAAGCAACTAACAAGGTAGAAGGTCCGTAGGTGGAGGCAAGACAGAGTGATCCGAATCTTTCCCATTTTCTACCACAAATGCAGTCTTCAAACCCCAGCTAGTATGTAGCTCCAAATGACATGCATGAACCACACACCTAAAAAACATAAAAAACTGTTCAAAGTATTAGTAAAATCTTTGAATCAACAAATAGATAGTCTTTTAAATCTGGTTAAAAATTAGTTTAGCTTAGTTAGCCACTTTGAATCAAAATGTGGCCTGCTGTTTGGTTATGTTGCTGTGTTTACCTGGATTATCAGCCCTGAACCTTATGGCAGCCCAAAGAAATTATAACCATGAAGGTGGAAGGGATGAGACTCCACTGTGAGAAGATTGGTGTCTTAAAATAAATGACGAGAAAGGAAAATCCCATTTTTCGGGTTTAAACAGTGGTGTCTTAAAAAAAAAGTGATCTTAAGTATCTTGTTTCATGGATGGAAAAAACTCTTGCATACAATGTTACTTTCACAATAACAAAGGCCTGGACGATAACAAGCAAGAGAGGTACGTGAAGCTAAGCATATGGCTCTCTAAGCTTTAGAGTCAAGGAAAATGGTTGATATCCAGCGTGTGTTTCTTGTTGACATATCCACTTTCCCCCTTTTTTGACCTACTATGCAGTACTATGTAGGGAAATTGGCGGCTTTACCCCTGGCTCACCTAATTTATTCACTAATATCCTTATTTTGAAACCCAATCACAAATGCCCCTTATAAAAACTCCCTATTGACAGCCTATTACCCATCTTTCACTTTTGTTTAGTCGTTTTGAGCTCTTTGAAATCCTCTTCAACAATTTCTCGATCTCACTCACTCAACCCTCATCTCCTCTCTTCTCTCTCTCGCTCGCACCCACATCGGCGACAATCACTGTCACCTCCTCAAAAACCCTAACCCACATCGGCGACAACAACCTTTCCACCTCCATCTCTCACTCTCTATCACCTCTTTCGACCTCTATACCTAGAGATGGCGTCTCAGGTAGCCAATTTTCTCCTACACATTTGGGTTTTCTTCTCCTTATTTCAATTTCATATATGGGTTTGGATTTTTGGTGCTT